TGCCCTAAAAAAAAAAAAAAAAAAAAAAAAAAATATATATATGTGTGTGTGTGTGTGTGTGTGTGTGTGTGTGTGTGTGTGTGTGTCTTAGCAAGATGTTTCATTGGCATTAAAATCTTCTAGTAAACTTCTTCATGTAAGCAGGGGCTTACCCATTAAATAGTTGAGTTTCTCTTTTAAAGTTTCAACGGTTAAACAGTTTCAATGAAGGCAGAGCTTGCGACAAAAGATGCACCATGCTTTTGAGGTTACGTCTCAGCTTTAACACACATGACTTGAGAGGCTCTTTCCTCTTCTCAGCTATGTGGCGATGCTAACCCTTCTTCTCTCACATATGTTCTTGTCCCTTCTGGATTTCTCCAGATTACTCGAGTCTGTCTCTATTATATACTTTTCTCCACATAGAATTTTAAATTAAACATCTCATTTATTTTCATTATTTTTTAGTTATCACACCAAATAATGGATTCTTTTATGAAATTTTCCATTATGTATAATTGCATTTTGTTCATCTTAAGATTCCTCTACTTTTCACATTTTATTATAATATTGTGACCACTTTTCATTTAAAAATAACAACATGAAACTCCGTAACACCTATACAAAAGCTAGAGTACATGTTACATAATATAATTTTTGTTCTTTCTCGTTCACATTTTCTTTCTGTGTTATCAAAGGAGCTATTACTTGGAGTGTCATTGTCATAATATAATATGTATGCTTTATTACAAAAGCACAAAAATAAATAAAACAGATATTAGATAATTAGGCACATTATTGCTCTAAATTCTTTCATATCAACTACGTCCTTTACTGGAAATGTTTGTTTTTCATTATAACTCACTTTTTTGGTGTTAAGCCCTTTAGAACCTGTGCAAAGGAAAAGTTGCTATCAAAATCTGTCTTCTGATATGGGTTTCCACGTGATCCGATATTCATTTTGCACATTTTTAAAAATTAATTGCGCCAACCTCACATTGTTTCCAAGACTCAAGTTCAGTTTTCTACTGATTATTAAATGTAAGATCTACTAGATATTTCCTGGAACTTAGTGACATGTGTGACGATATGTCTTTTTTTCACTTTACATGTGTTTTAAGATACATGCTCATTAAAGGAATGCTTACCAATCCTGTCTGCATACTGACATACATTAGCATCCTGGGGCAACTCTCTTAGAAATCTAGGTCAATATTTTCTACTTCCTGTGTGTACAGACAACTTACGTTTTGTAATTTAAGGAAAATTCTCAAAGTAGCTAGTGTAATGAAAGTGGGCTGCCATATGCTTTAGTATAAACCAGTTTGTATAATCATACATATATCAAGTGCCCAGGAAAAGTAAGGTGTAAATTTACAGAATATGCCCCTATTTTCCCTTCATTGCTTTAAGATTGTTAATATATGACCAGGTTAAATAAGCAACAATTTAGAAAATTTAAAACCTGTTTATAAAGACCATTGTGCCAACCAAATAGAATGTGAAAAACTGTTTAGACACTTCTGTTGACATGCGAAATTGTCCCTGTGCCATACATACATTAGGCAAAAATGGAAAGTAATTTACACAAATGTCTAAACCCACATTTTAAACATACATCTTTTTATCTTTACCACCCTTGGCCCTGAATTTGTCTGTCATGGCACTTCATGCTCCCCAGATACTTTGGGCTACTTTTTAGCAGCCTCTTGCCTCTCAGATTTTCCAGCTTGCATTTTTGCTATATTACAAAGCAACTGGCCTGCTCTTAAGTCCCTTTGTCAAAAGACTCTGAATTGACTTTTTCACTATATATTCTAATCATATGTTTATTTTTAGAGTTTCTGACTATTTCTCTATGTCATCTTCTCTTTGTCTTTCAAGTAGGTGTGAAAGAGAGAGACGGGGAGGAAAAGAGAGGAGGGGAAGGGAGGGGAGGGGAGGAGAGGAGTGGAGAGGAGAGGAGAGGAGAGGAGAGGAGAGGAGAGAAGAGGAGAGGAGAGGAACTGAAGTTGCAAAAATGAAGCGTGCCTGTGACAGACTGTAGTGGCCACTAACTACTAAGTGGAAAGGGTAAGTGATGGCAAGAAAGGGAAGAATTCATAGCTGGGTAAGGTTGATGATTAATTTTCCTTTTCCAGTATCCAACCACTTCCTGATTGGATGTCAGATTTGTTTTATAAGATGTAACTGGACACTGTGACCAAACCTAGGAACCTGGGGCTAGACAGGTCACAGACTGTATGGGACAGCCTAATAATACCATTCTGCTTAATACATATAGTATTAAACTGACTCCTAATGACTTGTTACACCCATACATTAATGCATCTTTCAACTCTCTCCAGAGAAACTTCCTTATGCAGCAGATGGTGATTAACACAGAGATCTACAGCTGGCCAACATGCAGAGAATAAGAGGTTGTGGAGCGCTTATCCTTGAATAGGACACACATATCAAACTTCTGTCTCCCAAGGCTCAGAGATCATTGCAGAAGAGGGGTGGCAGAAAGACTTTTAGAGCAAGAGGTGGCAGATGATCACAGGGAAACAGTTTTCCAGCTTGTCAGTTACTCATCTGAAGTCACAGCAATGGTGACAGCATGCATAAGTCCCATGTGATCTCAAGTCAAACAAAATGTGAGCATGGACACAGGACAGTGGGTAAGAAACCTGAGGAACTACTAGCAACTGATGGCTGCTGGGAGCAAGGGAGTCAATGTCATTTGAGTGTGAGATTCTTGGTGGGTCGATCAGGTTCCAGTGGATGGACCCACAAGAAGGGCATTTGGGAACACAAATTTGACCCTAAAGGCTCTCATTCTCTCTCT